TCAAAAGGCTCAAACAGACCTATCAGCAATCAGTGCGTATGGCGGTCGTAAACGCGCTCAGTGTTGTGACATGGCGGACGCACGATGGCAGGCGGTTCCAGGCTGCCGCGGCCCGATACGAAAACGCCCTCTGTGTGGTGGTCAGTCGGTGTCTACGCAGGTGTAGGCTATCTACCTCTGTCCGAGGAGCGCGTTTCACGACTCAAAGCAGCGACGCGTGGGGCAAAAATCGTGAGGCGCGTCTTCCTCTTTCAGCGCTTTAAACACTTTTATCCCGTCGCGGTGTGCCATCATGCCCTCGATCCCCACCATCCAAGTGAATTAAGAGCCGGAGTTGCACGATGATGTTTTTTTTGGAGCCGGTAATTGTTCCTGCAGTAAAAGTGATGACTTTTAAATTTTGTGTAGTTGACTCTTGTTTGCCCCAACCCACACGCGCAGGCAGTACCGTCAACGTCATGTGAGGGAATGATATGATATGATGCCCCGATGATAATTTTGAGAAAATATGAAATAAATTAATGACGGAATTTTTACGGAGAAGCGTGGATATCATTGTATTTTGTCACAACGCTGGAGGCATGGACACCCCATGGCAGACCGGAATCAACTATGGCGCCGAGAATTTTGATGCTACTTGAGGCATGCACCGTTTGCTTTAACACGCGCCAGTGTGGCCGGCTAGATACTCTTCGCTCGGGTGGGGGGTCAATTTGACCCCTTGAGATCTCGGAAACTAAGCAAGCTAAAGACACCAAATTTACAGAGTGTCTTGACCTATACGGGAACTCACTTAGGTCGAAGTTTCAGCTTCCTAGGTCATGACCTTCAGATCAAATAAGGTCAAACCAGGTCACATTCCAGGTTAGTCTCCAAAGTGCCCCTAGAACCTAGGCAACTGTTTCTAAGCAAAAGGTCAAATGCCCATTTGAGGTCAGTGACCTTGTTTAACCTTTTGAAGGTCATGGTGACCAAAACTATACAAGACTTCTCAGAGTTTTGCATTTGAATAAGCGACAAATATTACGCTAGGCAGTATGGTCTTAAAACAAATTGTCGACCTGGGTCATCTTAGATCAATGATCTTTTTTAGGTTCTTAGAAGTCAATGGAAGATGTATAATACGATTCCTGCTGTCAATAAATTCGAAATGAGTACCACAAACTATCCCATACAGCAAACCCTAAAGTAATAAATCAGGTTGGTTGTGATCTTGGTCTGGTCTTCATACCTGACCTTAGGTCAACGTATTTTGCTCATTCAATATTTGTGGCGCCTAAGAAAGCATCTCAGAGATACATAACTTCGCCAAACACTCCGTTATTGTATCAGGTTGGACGATTCCCTAGAAATTGCCTTCTCTGAAACCATGGCCTGACTTTGACCTGCCATAGGTCCTACAAGTACCTAGATGTATCTTGCAAGGTACATCTAAATTTTATGTCAAACGATTCGCTATTTATTTGTCTACAGCTATGCAAAATTTGGCGCGGCTACGCCGCGCCGTTCGGAAACCATTCTGGAAAAACCTTCGGGGGTTGTCAATTTGACACCCCGCCCGAGCGCGTGTTAAAGTGGAAGTCAGCTGACTTTTTAAAATTTTGTTTTGACCCAACGAACACAAAATCCGTTTTTATTTTGTTCGTTTGGAGAGAATTGCCAGTGCCGAAACTCACGCATGGTAATTTCCAGTCTGGTTTTGAGGTAGGCGAGACCCGGTCCGTCAGGGAGCGCACAGTTCACGTGCATGATGCCGTCAGCGTAGAAGATTAGGCGGCCATGAGTCGAGTATCCATATGATCGTTGGTAAGCAAAGTAAACAAACTGGACCGATGATTGAGTCCTGGGGTACACGGCATGACATGCAGAGAGGAAACCGCACTCTACGCACCACCTGCCCTCCACCACTCAAACAGCTCCCAAACCATCCCACATCGATAAAGTCACACCAAGACAATTTGGGGAGGAGGACGTCATGGTCGACTCTATCGAACGCTCTTGACAAATTGATTATCGTTACCTACGATACAAGACCGTCGTCGATGTTGGTGACCAGACGCTCGACTGCGGCGAGCACGGCGTCCTCGGTCGAGTGGCGCTGCCTGTAGGCATGCTGGGATTGATGCAGCAGCGCTGTCGCATTCAAACACTCCGCAAGCTGTGTACAAGCTGACTTTTCTAAGATCTTGGAGAGCGTACTAAGGAGAAATATGGGCCTTTTATTGGACGGTACAGCCGGATCACCTGACCTCAAATCTGATACAACACATGCCGTCCTCCAGCCATCTGGGCAAATCTTGGTCACGAGAGGCAAGTTGTTGGGCTTTAAAAGACGAGGCCCGACGACTGAAAAACATTTCCGCACAGCCCGAAGAGGGACCTCATCCAGGTCCACCGCTTGAGATGTACTCATACGCTGAACACAGCGTGACGGCTCTGGTAGCGTCGCAGTTGGGAGCGAGAAGCCAGCGGCGCAGACGGCGGGCGGTCTGGGGTTCTCGGAGCCGGCGTTCACTGCGCTCCACAGGCTGGCTGCGACGCGCGTCACCACGGCAGCGAAGTGATGGTGGAGCTTATCCGCCGTCACCTCGGCCTCCTCGGGGCTGACCGCAGACCTGGCCTCGGCCGGCGTCGAAGCGGCCGTGGCGGACCTCTGGAAGGTAGGTCAGAGGCCGCGGCGGCCGCCGTGCGCCATCTCGCCGCAAAGGAACTCACGCACTGCTGCGATTGGGTGGCTCTTAACCTGACTGCGGAGTCTCATAAAGTCGGCCTTGCTCTCTGATGTGCGCGGACACAGTCAGGCGCCGCGCGCTGTCTCTCTCCGACATGACCTCTCTCAGGGCAGCCAGGGGCAGTGCGGTTTGGAGGCGCCCATTCTTCTAGTTGGGCAGTTGCGGTTCATCACAGCGTTCCGCATGCATACACACGTGGTGTGGACGATACTGCTCAAATGACACACCTGCGCACAGCCATCCCGTACATTTATAGGTTTTTCGAATGATGCATTTTGATGATGTTCTTCACATGCCGCTCAGGAAATATATTAAACCACCCGCCCCGATGACATTTTATCAATGCTGCAACTCGACGCGGGTCGCAGATTCGACACCACATCCAGATGCCCAATGGTTAGGAGATATATGGTAGGCACGGGCGACATTATGGCAAGCCAGCTGTGCGTTTAGAGTACCCTATCACTTCTCACCGCATTACTATTGCATGTACTGAACTTCTCCCTTTCAGAGGCTCTCCTGGCTCTGCCCACTCCGGGATGGGGACGTTCACGTGCTGTCACCAGTCACACGTCCTGCGAGGCAAGCAGCAGACTTTTAGCTTTCCGAAGATACGTAATGAGCAGAAAGTGTACAAGTACGCCTTCAAAATAATCTGAATAGATATCAGTGGGACTTGACAGACTGACCTTACAATGAGTCTGCAGCTTTACTGGTGGAGCCTCAGATTCCTGGCGATTGCATGGCAAACATCCGAGTCCCACGCCCACACACACGAAAAACGTCACTCCCAAGTCGATGGCCATCAGTTGCAAACAGACCAAGTGAATCAGGTGGGTGACGGATAATTGCGTTTGGCTTTACATAACATGCGTGAATCATTTCTCACTAATTTGCCGGCATTTGTTTTAGGACAGGATGGAAATATCGCGAGCCATCTTCACTATACCGGGGTCAAAATCGTATGTTCACCGGAATTGTTCCACTGGGCTGTCAACTGGTTACACATGTTAAGCGGGACCTCAGATCACAAGTCATTGTCTCATATTTGATCAAATTTCGATCAAAAACGATTTATGATACGTGATGCCGCACAGTGCGTGACGCTTGATTTGAACTAACCCATATGCTTTACCCCACGTACACTCGCGTCAGGACACTTAGGTAAATCGCCCCAGGTGCGCTCGTGTCAGGACCCTTAGGTAAATCGCCCCAGGTGCGCTCGTGTCAGGACCCTTAGGTAAATCGCCCCAGGTGCGCTCGTGTCAGGACCCTTAGGTAAATCGCCCCAGGTGCGCTCGTGTCAGGACCCTTAGGTAAATCGCCCCGTGTGCGCTCGTGTCAGGACCCTTAGGTAAATCGCCCCAGGTGCGCTCGTGTCAGGACCCTTAGGTAAATCGCCCCAGGTGCGCACGTGTCAGGACCCTTAGGTAAATCGCCCCGGTGCGCTCGTGTCAGGACCCTTAGGTAATCGCCCCAGGTGCCTCGGTCATGACCCTTAGGTAATCGCCCCAGGTGCGCTCGTGTCAGGACCCTTAGGTAAATCGCCCCGTGTGCGCTCGTGTCAGGACCTTAGGTAAATCGCCCCAGGTGCGCTCGTGTCAGGACCCTTAGGTAAATCGCCCCAGGGTGCGCTCGTGTCAGGACCCTTAGGTAAATCGCCCCAGGTGCGCTCGTGTCAGGACACTTAGGTAAATCGCCCAGGTGCGCTCGTGTCAGGACGACAGTCGGCTAAATCCACACCAATCAGCGGCGTTTATGGCGCGGCCGTGCTATCTCCGGCGACAGCGCGCGCGGCACCGCGTCCGGCACGTTTGCTCATTTGTCATGTCGCGCAGATTGATACCGAATCAGGCGCGGCCGGGCTGGCCGGCTATCGGGCGGCGCGCGGCGCACCTGGAGGCGGCCAGCCTCCGGCGGAGGCGGTGCGGCGTCTGACGTCAGGCGCCGGGCGCCGCGCGAGCGCAGCGTCACCTGTGTCGGCCACAGGTGTGAGGGCGTACAGCCGGTGACCGGCGCGGCGCGGCGTGCCAGAGCCAGAGCCAGAGCCAGAGCCAGAGCCGGCTCGCAGTGCGCTCGCGACCGCCGGGTGCGCCGGCCGTGGCTCCGCCGGACACTGCTCTGAGACGGCAGCTCGTCGCGCGCACCGCCAGATACTGCCTTCGCCGATCCCGGCCCGTGACCTGCGCCTCCTCCGCTCACACCGCGCACCGGGCCGCCGCCGGCCGACCGGCCCGGTCACGGGAGCGAGGCACGGAGCGCGGCCGCATGTGGCTGCGGTTGCTGGTGGCGGCGCTGACCTGGCTGGGTCACGCCGGCCGGGCTCAGGCCGATCACCAGCGCGGCCACGAGCTCCGGCTGGCCTACCACAACGAGTGGGCGGTGAAGGTGACCGGCGGTGCCGAGGACGCCCTGCTGGTGGCTCGTCAGCTGGGCCTCCGCTGCGCCGGACACGTGAGTGTGACCGATGGTCGCCAGGCGCACTGCGCTCGCTATGTGGGCGAGGTCCGCCCTTCAACCTGGTGCCAGCGACGAGGGGGGTGCGCGACGGAGAATATCGCTCGTGTGACCTCTCTAGGGATCCAAGCCGACATAGTTAAACTTCGTTGTGGATTCAGCGAGATTTTAGGCCTAAGCTCCACTTATACTGGCTTTAACATTGTTCCAATAGATCATATGTGGGAAAAATCTGCTTAGGGTCTCAACCCCTTCCAGCATTTTAAAGACTTCTATCCCTACAGACCAAAGATTTGTATTTTTGCAGAGCTCTTAAGTATCGAGAGCAAGCAGTTATGCACCCCGTTCTGTTGACACGGTCACTGCAGTATTGCGCACGTACTTGGCCATATTATAAACATCCGGTCCTATGCGATCCGCTTAGTCTAAGATTCAATACGGTAATAAATTCGCCGTTCCCGGAATTCTTAATCTCAATCGGCGTACTCGGAGCCGGACCGGGCCGCGGGCAGGTCTGATGGGATCCATTGTGAATTTAGCACAATATCATTCCTATTATTCTGCCTTCACATTTCGATCCAAATTGAATCAAAATGCCGCCTTTAGCACTAGTGAATATATTACATTCAGTGCGTTTAGCTTATATCGCTCACGGAACCTATTTTGTTGGAAAAAGCAGCTTTTGTGTTCAGCCATACGGGCCGAAATTGTTGACTTGAGATTTGCTGACCTTCGACACATGCAAACATGTGTGACACGACATACCTGGCACTTGTGGTCAGTTTTGTTTTCTATGTACTTTCTTTTGCAACGATTCTGTGCGCTCCACCACGGAGGAAATGAGGGCCTTTTCTCTCACATTTTATACAGGACCAGTGGTACCATGCTCGCATTGCATCCGGACTGTAGCGTAGCTTCTGTGACGTCTTTATCTGGTAAAAATAGTCCATGTATTTGTTGCGCAAAGTCAAATGGCTGTACATACAAGTGTCATTATGTTTTTGAGACTCAAATTGAAAACAGCAATTTAATATCTACCAGTTAGTAGCCCTGTTTGTCCAGCGTAATAAGCGTGCTGTCTAATCGAAGCCTCTTGCGCTGTCTCTCTGAGGCACAAGCTCTGGTATTCCAGTTTTTGGTCCCAACACTGTTGTCTAAAAGACGTCCGTTTGCTGCAGACACAATGTGTGCACCACAGGGTGGGTCACGAAGGACAGGTCCTCCCACTTAGCTCCGATCCGGCACGTTTTCTGATGGAGAGCAAATGACCTAGGTCGCAGTAATCTTAAATTGGGGATGTATTGGCCGACCTTATCGTGTGGCATTTCTTTTCATTCATTTCATCTGTACATTCTGTTCATTTCTTCCACGGTGAGCAGCTAGGTCTTTACTGTACCCCACCATCCAACGATATAGCTCCCGTCTCAGGGAGGCCTTCTATGTAAAGCTGGGTGGTCCAATGTCAGCAATGAGCAGCAATTCATAGGTTCTGAAATTCGTATGCTGAGTTGCTCTGGCTCACAAATCATATTCGTCCTTCCTCATTCTCTTCATAGATCCCGAATGAGGCATCGCCATGCCTCTTAATAAACTAGATCGGCATCGTATGCATCTAACCTAACACTAGCTTTGATGCGAATCGTGGTGTATGAAGGGATCACAGCGCAACAACTGCGTTCTAAATCACCTACGTGACGCTAGTATCAGGATGATAAGCCAAAGATTGCACCATTCACCTATCAGGTAAAAATTCCGTGTTTAAGCGCTCACGTTTGATGTTAAAGTGTGAAGTGTCCCGAGTTTGGTTGGTTTGGTTAGAGCTCTTTCGGCCAGCGCTGGTCTTTTTCAACGCTACGGGACTACGGAGAGAGGTGAGTGCTGGGTCAATACCGGGCCCATCGTGAGCAGTCTCGTCTACGGGATTACGGAGAGAGGTGAGTGCTGGGTCAATACCGGGCCCATCGTGAGCAGTCTCGTCTACGGGATTACGGAGAGAGGTGAGTGCTGGGTCAATACCGGGCCTATCGTGAGCAGTCTCGTCTACCGAGCCGCGCGCCTGATAGGGGCCCATTTGCGGGCTGTATGCAGCAGCGGGGCGGGGCCGCGCCAGCGCAGCCGTCAGGCCGACACGTGTCTGACGACCGCGGCAGGATCCCGGCCAGACTAGACGAGACGAGGAGTGAGGGTGAAGCGGCGAGTGTGAAACAGAACCCCGGCCGGACTAGACGAGACGAGGAGTGAGGGTGAAGCGGCGAGTGTGAAACAGAACCCTGGCCGGACTAGACGAGACGAGGAGTGAGGGTGAAGCGGCGAGTGTGAAACAGAACCCCGGCCAGACTAGACGAGACGAGGAGTGAGGGTGAAGCGGCGAGTGTGAAACAGAACCTCGGCCGGACTAGACGAGACGAGGAGTGAGGGTGAAGCGGCGAGTGTGAAACAGAACCCCGGCCGGACTAGACGAGACGAGGAGTGAGGGTGAAGCGCCGAGTGTGAAACAGAGCCTCGGCCGGACTAGACGAGACGAGGAGTGAGGGTGAAGCGGCGAGTGTGAAACAGAACCTCGGCCGGACCAGACGAGACGAGGAGTGAGGGTGAAGCGGCGAGTGTGAAACAGAACCCCGACCAGACTAGACGAGACGAGGGGTCAGGGTGAAGCGGCGAGTGTGAAACAGAACCCCGGCCGGACTAGACGAGACGAGGAGTCAGGATGAAGCGGCGAGTGTGAAAAACAGGACCGATCATCGTACCCTTAACCTCGATGGATTGGTGTCAGTCGGCATCGAGCTTTTCAGCGAGAGGCAGGTAGCATCAATGATCATATGCACACCAGGTTAACAGCGGAAGGTAATATTCGTCGGCAAAACATTATATCATAAGCCACAAATATGTGCGAAAGCCGCATCGCTTAGGGTGTTTCATTTGAAATGCCAATCCTAAAATGGCTGTGGTGTGCATGAAAAAACGTTCACCAAAGCCTAGTTTTATATAACAGATATTTGAGTATCTGGACGTACTTTTATAGGCAGTGATCATTTGCTTAACAAAACTTCTCAACAGCGGTCACCTGGACACGAACGCACCCCTCCAAAGTCCAGAATGACCCACGCCCGCCAGTGGGTTACAAATGGCGTGTGTAGCCGCCAAGCTTGGGTACGAAGGTCTTCATCTCTAGTTTGTACAAGACACCACTCTTAATGCCCGGTAGTTCCCCTAAGTACTTGCCGGATGGCGCATGCTTGCCCGATTTTTAGCACTCCTATTTGCATTTTTAAATTTGACATTCCGAGTGAAACACGCTACATACAGAAATACAGAATATGACTACAACGTGCATATAAGTCGTCTGATGCGATGGGAAACTCACTTTTCCGTGCATTGTGGTGTTTTGTTATTCTGCCTAAAGCAGTCAAGATGATCCAAAGGCCGCCAGCAGGCACCTAGTGGGGCTGACTCTGGGTTTGTCTTATGCCCACGTGTGCACGGAGCGCACCTCCTTCCCAATACCAAGACCGACATGCGTTCGTAGGAACGTGGCCTCTTCTCAGAACGAGGCCAAATGAACTGTGAGTAGGGGCAATACCTGCGTCAAAGTGTGGAAGCTCATGTTAGCCAAGATTTTTCTGAAACCAAATTGACGAACTCACTGTATGTCTGATAGCTTTAATTGTGAGCAACAGGTGCCTGCCTCTTGCTAGCTACATTATATTCTGCATCATATTTGTGTCAACTACTACGGTCCCAGGTTTTATTACTACTCTCACTCACACTACTCTTGCTCATATACTATTTCTTGGATGGAGAGGGTAACATCAGGGTAACCTCAGCACATCTTATCCATTCCTGAACCAGCAACATACACAGCTCAATACGCTTAATCAGGCCCCAGTCATGCTAGAAGCCGTCGACAATGCCTTTCATCGACACACTGGCTCCGCAGTCAGGCGACTCCTAAGGTATGTGGGTTCTTTCACGCTGGCGCTGTTTCTGGTACATACATCCACGCTGGCGCTGTTTCTGGTACATACATCCACGCTGGCGCTGTTTCTGGTACATACATCCACGCTGACGCTGTTTCTGGTACATACATCCACGCTGGCGCTGTTTCTGGTACATACATCCACGCTGGCGCTGTTTCTGGTACATACATCCTCGCTGGCGCTATTTCCGGTACATAAATTCACGCTGTTGCTGTTTCTAGTAAATACATTCACGTTCGTTGAACTCATTGCTGAACTTACCAATGCCGTGCATTACTTTCTTCTTGCACATGACGGTCTGTGAGCCATAAGAAGTGTGTCAGCTGGCACAGACCCTCATCCTACGGGCGTACATATTACCTTCGCTCTACGAAGGACCTCAGAGGCTCCTTGCATCTGAAAAAGCAGACGTCTATTGTCTTTCAATGCTCTCATCTGTCCAGGAAATCGATATACATATACGAAAAGGCTTTCACAATTGACTTTCGCAATCGGTTTCACAATCGTCAACAGCTGGTGAAACGAGTGCAACGGTGCGCGACTAGAATGCCGACAATTATCAGGGCCAAACCATATGAACGACAACTGCAGCCTTTGACGCTGCCTGCCTTGTTTTACCGAAGACGTTGCGGAGATATGGTGGTCATATACCACCTCCCTCATTCGGGGATGGTCTTGAATCGTGATGACTTGATGAATGATGATGTTTCTTCATCCGCCCTGAGTACTTGTATAGGCCACCTCTTGATGCTCCTTAAACCGTGGGCTTCACACAGAGTCCGCATATATATCCGCAGCGTACGTACCATCAAGGACTGAAACAGTCTGCCTTCGGAAGTAGGTCTGTCTATGTTCCTCAACCCATTCAAGTTCAGGTGTGATCATCACTGGATCCACAGAATATGCCATATCCCAATCCAAGATCAAGTGGAGTTATTAACCACACGAGCTCGGTGAGGACGGGACCTGTATTCTTTTACCTTTTAAATTCAAAAAGTGTAAGTATGGTAAGGCATGGCA